ATCATTTTAACTGGTAATTTTAAATATTCTCAGTTTTGATACTTTAAATTAAAAGAGACTTGAATAGAAACCCATTTCTCTGCGAGGCTTACATTCCCAATGGAAGTACCCGAACGACCCTCTGGGGAGGCATCGGAGTGTCCATATGTTTTAAGTGGAATTGCATGTGCAGGACGGATCTGCATCTCCACCTCCGTCGCATCCGCATCCGCAACAGAATCATCATCATCTATTTACAAGTATTTGCTGCTGCTACAATTTTCAAACAATTTTTTTTTAACGACTTGCGGTTTATGGTGGGTCGGTTTTGTTAGGTTTGGATCTGGAATGGGTACACGGTATGGGCATGGGTCTACAGTTTCGTGCGGTATGCCACACATGGACGCCCTGCCCCGATCACAGCCCCTGGTCTGCTGCTGCCGGTGCATTCATGTGGAAATGAGTGCAGCCAGCACACAAAGTTGCAAGTACAGTATAAAAAAAAGGGATCAATTTCAAATATTATACAATGAAACCTTAGCAAGTAAAATGTTATCTAAATTATATGAACAAGAAATAATTAGAAAAATGGATTGTGATAAGCTAAAAAACGGAAATAATCTGGATCTTCTTAAGGATATTTCTCCCAGTGCACGGGAAAAAGGAGAAAAGCAAACAAAACCAAGCCTCGCAGTGGGAAAACAATGCTGCTGCTTCTGCTGGCGATGGCGACTACATAAGTGGTAATAATAATTCCGCTCAAGAGGCGTCGCCCGGCGTTTCATTTCAATGACACACAAACCAACAACGTCTGCTGCTGCTGCTGCTGCTGATGACGATGGTGGTGACAAGGGGGGCCATAAAGGGGCCAGGGGTTAGATGGGGTACCGGAGGCTGCGAGGCCAAGGGGGGATGAGGCTGTGGACGACGATGATGAGCCCGCCGCCTGATGATGCCGCTGACGTGAATGGCAAAATACTAAATGCTAGGTGCAGCAGCAGCTAAATCCGTGTTTTTGTCATCGGACGACCCGCATCGTCTAAGCCGCACATTGTACATATGATCCGATATGAGCCCCATTCGTAAGAGATAACCCCACAAAGGCAGAGAGTTGTACAGGATGACAACGAATACCGAAGGCCCTATCGGTTTAGTTTTTGTTGAACAGCACTGCATTACTAAAACCCACAAAAAAAACTACAGATTTCTGTTTAAATATTTAATTAGTATAAGGTTTAAATTTAGTTATTGTGAATTGAAATAGTTCGCGGGATTTTTATTTTTCCTATAATATAATTCACCTACAACAATTAAAAAAAATCCCTTCGTAAGTAATTCGTATGAAATTTTACTTGCGTATTTTTTTTCCAGGTAAAATCCCAGCTCAGTTATACGGATTTGAAAGATTATTATTATGGGCTATCTTAATTCCTAATAAATTTTGATGTTGACGACTTAAAATTCGGAATAATCTCATTTTACTTTAAGGAAAGTAATTATTGAATTTGTAGTATACATATACTTGAATAAATAGATTGAATCGAATTTTAAAACCACATTTAAAATATACGTTTTCTGGTGGATTAATCAACCATTTCACTCAATCATTAACCTGCTGCCCGATTTACTTATCACCAAAAATGTTGTAATTTTGTGAGACTCCCTAATCATTACATGATTGTGCCCTAATAACTTGACCCGTATTAATATTTATTCAAATAAAATTATTTTTGTTCAAATATTATAAAAAGTGCTACAGTAATTCATTAAATATTTAATGTTTTTCAAAATTTAAAATATAAAATATATATTAAATAGCACATGGAATATAATATGTTAAACTTAAATAATAACTATAATAATTACCGTATCAAGATCCCCAAATAATTGTCGTACTCCCGCTTACCGAAAGTGTGTTCAAATGCAAGGGCAAGAATATTTCCTCCCTCTCCCTTTAATTTTGCGATGGCTTAATATTGCTCGTCATTCATTCATTGCCCCAACCAACTGTCTATTGGTTGGTGCTCCTCCATCCGCCAGCCTGCAATGCCCCTATCCCACCCCCCCGGGGAAAGCACCCTTCGGCCCCTGAAAATCCCAACGTCTGCTGGTGGCTCCTTTGATTGCATTGTCTCGTCATGGTCTCGAGTTTGAGTGGTTCCTGGCATCGCATTTTTTAGCCCTGCCTTTTTCCTTTTGCTTTTTATAGTTCTCACTCACTCCATTGTGCAGGCAGCCCCTCGATGTCTCTGCTCCTGCCCCTTCCCACGGGTCAGGGGTGTAGTCAGGGGGGTATTTGGTGCTAAAATATTCCAAAGTAATTTTAAAGAAAATTGGTTAGCACTCGAACAATTTATTGTGGTCTCCTTTATCTTTGCAATGTTAGAGTTACATATTTTAAAGAAAATCTATTAAACATAATAGTAATACTGATATAAGAAAAGTGATCAAAAATCTAGGTTTAATTTTAAAACACCCATTTTTAAAGTTAGACGAGCTCGTTCTTCATTTACCATTACCTAGAAAATCTTGATCTTACTTAACTAAATTTAATAATTTTTTAAATAATTTTTGGACCCTCCCCGACTATGTTTCACCCCTCCCTTCGAAAGCATTCTCCACATACGCCCCTGGTCGTATTTCAACGTTTTTTCTCGCTACCGCTCACTTGACATACAATTATGTTGATGACATTGTTGTTTATATGCTGCCGCTGCTGCCTTGCTGTCGTTGTTGTTGTCGCTTCCTTCAACTGCAGCAGCAACAACAATGCGGACAATTTTTATGGGCATTCTGGGGCTGCGGCATAAGTATAGGCCCATATATCTCCCGCGCTCTCTCTCTCTCGGGCGTATCTGGCATATCTGTCTATGGGTATAGCTGCATTTCTTGCACCCGGTAATTGTGGATGCAGGGATGGGGTATACGTATTACACAGAATACCCTCGTAGAGGGTATTAAAATTGAAGTTCAACAGCCGAATCGATCTAGCCAACTGTCCGTTTTCATGGAAACTATTCGCTATAAATCCCGAAAGTGTATACACTATAGTATAAAATCTTTAATGAATCAAAATACCAGGCTTTATGGGCTACTGTTATCTTTTCATTGCCAGACCCCAGCATCAACATAATCACATCTAAACAACTGAAAGCCGGCTGCCAGTTTAGCTGTTTTACTCGTTCCGCGGCCTTAATTAAAAATTCTTTGGGTGTCAAATGGCCCGCTGAAGAAGATGTAGATGTTGTTTCTCTGGCTCTAGGGTTTCCCTTTTGACCAAGTGCAATTGTCTCGACTGGTCGGCCTCTCGAGATGCAGTGTGTTGTATTTCTCCCTTCAAGGTCTTTCGGCCTGTCATCGTCTTGCTTTGTTCATTCCGAGAAGCGACCGCATAAATTATTTCCTTTGATAGGAACTTCTAGGGATTCCATTCCTACGAGCTGATCAAATGATGTAGATTGAACACAACTGTCGCCGGAGCAATTAACCGGCTTTCTGTGCTCCCCGAACAGATGACCCGCAGAAATCCCGGACTACGTTTAATGAAGAAAAATGAATTGCACCGATGATTCGACAGATTCAAGTTTCCGCTGGGGAAAGTTTGGCCAAAAAAACCACCCCACCCCACCCCCCTGTCGAAGAAAAGCTTTATCTAATAAATTTCCACCCAGCACGTAACACGAAATATGCGTGTAAATTTCAGTTATTGATTTATGGCGAGGCACGTATACATACGTATACGTATGTAATGTGCATGTGTGAGGGAAAGCATTTGTATAAATACGCAAAATAATGGCATCTCCAATGTGCGAACTTCCCCTGACCATAAATCAAGATGAGCCCGGCCAAACAAAGCGATTTTTCCTCTCCTCCTCGCGAAAATATACGTATGTACGAGTATTTCAGCTGGCCCAGGCACAGCCTTTTCTGGAAAAGTTCTATTTGATTTCGTATTAGAAGCAAAACTGCTGAGCTCACATAAATTCCGCTTTTAAACGAAAATTAGTGAGGAGGCGGGAGCGGTGGGTGGAACCGAACGGAATCAGCCCGAGAGATTAAAGTTGGCAACGTGCTATAGTACGTGGCTGGGAAATCATTTTCTGGCGCACATTTTCTGCCATCTCAGCTCGACTTTCCAGCAGGAACGTGAAAAGTTTTTTCAACCGAAAATTACTTGGGCAAATATTGCTTTGTTCAATCGCCGCCGCAGCTTGGAAATTATGAGGGAAAACTTGCAGGCGGAGCAATTAGAAAACTTTGCCCCGGACAACTGTCTCAGATGGCTGGAGGAAAATTCTTCAATGCACTCGGAATATGGTATAGAAGTTCTCAACGAATAAGATATTTTAAGCTACTATTATTTTTAACTGAAGGAATATTAGTAATATAACAATCTTTTAGGGTATAAAAACAAATCTTCAGACTTTCCAATTGGACACTTAAAATTAAGTCAACTTATTAACTATTTTTCCCCTAAATCTATTAAAATATAAAATTGATAGCTAGTCAGTCTTCGTAACTATTTTATCCCAACATAAATAGTATACCAAACTTTTCTCCAAGAATTTTAATGACCATTTTTCCCAAGTGCCTGAGCGGAAAAATCAATAGAGCACTTAAAGACAAAGAAGCTGCTTTATGGCCAGCGGATTGAAATTGAATTTCCCGCGAAGACAACCCTTCCCCGGATCCGATCTGAGGACTCCTCTGTTGACTTTGCTGCTTTAATGAGATTCCCTGTCAAGGCTGAGCGCATGCCCAACGCCCTTCCCAAAATCGTTTAATTGCACACGCGGCCCGTGAAAGGGAGACTGGAACTTGGACTGGCACCGGGACTACCTGCCCCTGCCCCGGTCCTACAGAGTATTCCCATCCCGAACATATGGCATTCGAACATACATTTAGCAGCCCGGCGAGTGGCTCGTAAAAAATTATCTCCTGCATTGTTCCGTGGCACGGTCGGGGTGCCCATAAAATCCCAGACCCGCAACACAAAACACCAAACACCGAACCCCGAACACCGATCCCAGCCCAAACAACAACTGGCAGCCAACCCAAGCGATCCGGCGACGTCGGCATAAATCACTAGGAACTTGTTAATTGTGCGCCTATTTATTAGATGCATTTGGTTTTTCGGGAAAATTGAGGTGGTAAGTGATAGGCAGACACATGCCGCTAAAAGGGGGAAAAACAGACGTCGAACAGGTGACTCTCTGTGTGCCAGACTTCGATAAGATATAAGATATATAATAGCAGAGCCATTGGGATTGGAGTTCAAGCTGAATTCGAGAAATCAAAGATGCCGGTTTCGAGAATTTACTTCAATCAGGCTTCAATAAATAAGAAAAGCTCTCACGCTTCAATCAACACTTAGAAGCTGTCAACATAAATAACAAAATTATTATAAAACAATTGGATTATGGTTTCAAACTCAGAACACAACACAAATTAAATTGAAAGCTACCTGCACAAGGTTTCACTTATATTAGCAACTAAAAATATTGCTTATGCCAATGCGGTTTATCCACTTTTAAGCTCAGTTACTTTTTGTTTTGCATCTAAACTTGTTTTGCCCAGCTTTATTCCGGAGAATAATCAGAATATTTTGACGCTTCTCAGGTAGTTGCAATTTGGTGGCAGATAGTACAACATCATGTCCCCCAAAACAATCGCAGTGGTGAGTCTTTCGAGTTAAGCTAAACAATTTTCCTATGAATACAAATTATATATATTTACAGTTGGTTTTGGTTCTCTGGATTAATTCTTTTGAGCTGACAGCTGTGCTGGGTGGCGGATACCAGCTCAATCTAACACATCCTGATGGATCGGCCACTCGAAGGGAATCGGTGGTAGTTGACCCTGAGGGAAATGCACAGGTTGATGGCGAAATCCGTCAGATTTTTTCAGGGCCTCATGAGGGTTCGTTGGTTATTCTTTATAAAACTGGACCCGAGGGATACAGGATACGATATACCTATGCGGCAGGCGCTGAGAACTCCTTAACGTCCTCTAAAAATGAAACATTTTCAATAAAAAGACTTGGACCGAATGCTCTAAAGTCATCTGTTGGTTGAACGAAATTCAATTGTTAAAATAAGCAATAAATTAAAGGAGTAATTAGAGAAACCTGTAGATATTATCAATATGGGGAATGTCAATCAATATACATATGTGTTCTGGTTTTTAGAAGTGAGTCAAAACAAGTTTGATTCAAAAATTGTTAAGATGTGTGACTATATTATTTTGTAGGGTGATTTCAGCTTGTCTTATATAATTAAAAAAAAACTTTTCTTCTTTGCTGGATTTTGTTGTGAATTGTACAAGGTAGCTAAAGCTAGCATATAATTACTTAAAGTTTAGCTTTCATTAGTAACAACTGAGGATGAAGTCATTGATTAATTTTCAGAATATTAATAATAATTTCCGCCTTTTGTTTTCTAGCCAGGTTTGCTTTGTTTTACTTAATATTAATGATAATTTCTAGAGTATAATTTTGTACATTATTAAACCCACAATATTCAAACCAGGAACCCAAACACATCTTTACCACCTCGCAGAATGAATCTATTAGGCAGCAATCCGAACCATTTGAATCAACATAAGCGGCAACAAATATTTATGGGCAATGGAGCGAATGTTTCCATTTCGAAGCGTTTATTTATTTGTGAAACAACTTTTCCAGGCAAATACAGACCCACACAATACGTAGTACGGCTGTGTGTGCTAACAAATATACAAAATTTCTGTTTCTGTTCAGTTTCGTATGCTATATATTTTGTGTGTGTTTTCTGCCATGCCAGCTAACATTTAATGTTTTTATTTGGTCTCGTTAATGACAATGCTCTGTTGCCAATATTGACATATTTTCTATCTATCTCTGTCTCAATATATAGGGGATACAGAGGGGAGTTCGAAACAGTTCAACTATGTCAATGGCATCCAATTCTATAGTTAATGTCGATCAGTATGCGAGCAGTTTCGATATAATTATAGGGAATTTTAGCTGTTCAGATTCAATATAAAATGTATTCATTATTTATAATATCTCTAAAGCGATAAATAATATATAACCCACTAGTTTAACTAGTTAAAAATCAAGCAGATTTAAATTATATGTTTTACTAAATTCAAAATATTGTAGTGAATTATTAACAAATACAAAAGAGACATTTTAATAGCTGTTAATTGACTAGAATTTAAAATAAACTAAATATATACAAGATATAGAACTAAGAACAATTTATTATTGAGAAGTTTTGGCCAGATAAAACCCTAAGATACTTATTCCACCAAGTTTTGGCCAAGTTTCCCTTACAATCCCCAGGGTATAGTGAGCTTCGACCAACTTAGTTGGCCTTTCTCCTCGGCTCTTGTTTATGTTTGCTTAGTTGGTTGACGATGATGATTGCCAACTGTCGACAAGGGCCGCTGTTGTTGTCTATTTATAAGAATTATATTTGCACTCTGCGGGCCCTGCTGTGCTCATTTGTGTTTTCAGCACTCGGAAGGGGACTCAGATACGATATTCACCGCGGGGCCAGACATCCGCACACATATGCGATGCGAGCCCCAATTACTACTTGTGTATATACACAGTGCTTCCATGAATTATCGATAATTGCCTAATGCGGTTATCAGCGACAAAGGCGCGTAACTATCTCCATCTGGCAAGGAGCAGGACTCCGCCCAGGTGCACATCCATTTGAAATTCATAAGCTCATTAAATTTTCAGCAGCCAGCTCGGCAGGGCAATCAGCAGCCGACAGTCAGCAGTTTCCCAGACTGGGCAAATACAATTAAAATGCCATAAAGCAAATTAGCCAAGACAAACTTTTCATATTTAGCCGCGAGCTGTGCAAATTAGATGCGACAAGACGGGCCCGAAATGGGGCTGCGCGGGGCATATCTCGTATTTCAGAGTTTCAGTATTCTGGGGGTCCAGGCGACACTAAAACACATCCTGCGCCTGCCGTAATTGCCAGGCGGAGCGGCACTCGTGGCTGCAACTTCAGCAAATTGTTGGCAATTATGTGGCACAAAGTAAAGTAAAACACAGTGCGACAGCCCAAGGAATGCTATGGGGAATACTAAGGGCCTTTGAAAGGCCGTCGAGGGGAAATCTCTTTGATGCTGGATTCTGTGGCTTGATCTGATCAGTTTTGATTTGTTCTAGGTCTTTTCCTATAACTAAAAATAAATCAAAGTCAACATGTAATCAAAGACTATCTCTAAAACACTTTATTTTCATTCTACTTTGTTTAAATGAAACTAAATTATATATTTTTATAAAAGCGCTAGAGTTTTCTTTATAATTTGTATGTTCCACCAATCAATTACATTTTCCATGATACAATTTACCCGATTTCTTTCACATTAACTACCCTTCTTATAGGCCTGTTCCCCTTAATTTTCCCTTCAAACCAATTAAGATTAAAATCTAAGGGTATTTTAGAAAAATGAGTTCCATTCCAAAATCTCAACTCCTGGCTGGCAGCACCCGCCTCACCACCCCTTGCGAGTCGACAACCTGCTGGCAAGTGTATTAAATTATAATTATTTGTGCATGACAAAGGGTCATGAAACATGCCTAATGACACATTTGCCACAGACTCGAACAAAACGCGGGACCGCCACCACAACAACAGCTCGTGAGAGGGGTCGGGTTTGAAGGGAGGCAGGAGCAGGGTTTGGTGGCGGAGGTGGTGGCCCAGGGGGCAGACTTTACGTGTCTCCCTCTTGTGAGGATAGCGACATTGTCCGTATGTATGTACACGGCTGCAATTAACCACGCTCGTTATGTTCGAGGCATGCGGCAGCCCAAAAAGAAATTAAACAAAATTGCTGCAAAACTGAAAATTTCCACTTGTAATGCAACACCAGAAACACGTTGGCAACGGAAAGGGAGAGAGGCTCTTAACGGCTAACCGAGTCCTTAAATACTCTGGGATTACTGGTTAGAAAATCTGGAAAAATCAAGGACGTTTTCGAGAGAACTGGGGTTTTTAAAGTATAATAGAAAGGATCTTAAGCATTTTCCCAAGTTCTTAAGAAAACATAAAAATTTTTTAAAGTTAAGAAACAAAATTTAGTAGTTTAACGCTGCAATTATTATGTTTTATTCCTGAACGAATAGAAAAACCAACAATGTTAACCCTGGAGCCTATAAATATATATTATCACGATGATATTTAGAAGATTTAGGTCACTAAATGTGCGGGTAAAATTTAGGAATATTAAAAATATTCAATATAAAATGTAGGTAGATTTTAAGGCATCCATTTTTGAGCTTTTAGCTTTCTATCTAATCCTTTAGGAATTTTGTAACGGGCAAACAAACAGAACTCAGAAGGAAACCCCTAGAAAGTGTATAAAAACAAGGTTAAAGTTGCTGCGCATTGAAGCCAAGGATGGCGGCGGACTATCCCAAACTCATGCCATGGCCAAAACCATAGCCAACCAAGTCAGCAGTCAGCAGGTTTTTGGACTAATGTCTATTAGGCATTTGCCTCCACCGGAGTTTTGCACCCCTCTCCTTGGATATTCCCGCCCCGGGAAACTTTTCCGCTGCGGCACAGTGGAATGACCAAAGTTGAGAGGCCAAGGAGCGCGATAAGCGCACTCGAGAATGTTCCATGTTTTTGCTAAGGGCCAAACAGATAAGATCCGTAATGGTGCCCGCCACATTTGGCTGGCCTCACAGTTTTGGCTTAGTTTAGTGACCATTTAAGAAGTCTTTAAAGAATGTTTCTGGCAAATATGCATTCATGCGAACCTTAAATAGCCGCAATCTTTCATCTTTTGGATGTCTGCTGTAGTCAGAGTATTTGTTAAGCAAACTCAGCTGAAAATATCAGGAATTACTTTGACAGTTGATGTACAGCACTCCTGTTTCATTTCATTTCCCAAACTTATTATCCGGCCTCAGCTGTCCCATCGACTTGGTTACTTTCCATTTTAAGCCTTATTTCTGCGTTTCTTGGCTGCAATCGAACACCTAGGCCATATATCATCTCTCGCTGGGATTAGTACTACTATTTCGGTTTGCTTATTCCGCTGCGCATCAAACTCAATTCCTTGGACCACGGTGAGTGCCTATGGAAATTTGAGTCGTGGTCGTGTCGCATTCGCTTTTTTGTTGTTGATTTTTTCCCTCTATGAGCTCAGCTTGACTTCAGCCTCCTCAATCTCCTCTCTTGGCCCTACTTACATACGTGTTGCAGGCAAACAAAACTCTGTGGAAGACGACGAGGGCCAAAAACAACAAGAACGCGGCACATAAACTAGACAAACATCGATAAGAGCAAACGAAGGTCCATTCAAGTGGCAGCGACCAGGGCCCAAGGGACGTGCCTAGGAAAACAGAATTTACTAAGCAAATACGTGCATATGGAAATGTATTGGACGAACATGAACCCGAACCGAACCCGAAACCGTCGAGGTAGAACCCTCTTTCTCACTGACCCTTCACACACCTATTTTGATTCCTAAGCGAATTTCGTAATTAAACGGAAACGCTTCAATATTAGGCAAGGAGAGGAAATGACATAGTGGCAGGGCTTGTGAAGAATCTGAACACGGAGGGCTGATGACGATTCCCGGGAGGTTATTCATTATTCTACCAACCACGCATATGGCTGCGTTTCGTTAACACTAACCACTTTCTATGCATAACATTACAGGGAATACTCTGTATATGAGATGGGAATGTATAACCAGATTAAAAGAGGACTAAGATGTGTCAGAAGAGATGGTTGCTTTCATTTAAATAATTTTAAAGTTTTAATTTAAAATAAGCAAAAATTAAAATATATAAAACCCTTTTAATTTCTTTTATTTATGTTAATTTTTATAACATACTAAAAATACCATTTGGGCTTTATATAAATACTAGTTATGTCAGGCCATAAACCTTTTATGATATAAAAAACCGACAGGAAAAGGTGCATTCCAGATAAGGGCTAAATTTTTACCGACTTCCTTAATTTTGTTTTACAACATTTGCACCCCAGGACGTAATTAGCCTCCCCTATCGAGGGCTCACTGTCCGAACGATACTCTGTCTGTGTATGTGTGCCGGGATGATGGCCCATCCATATGCGTCAGGTTGTCGCTCTGCTCCGGCAATT